TTGTAAAAAAAATCACCTGCAGACAAAGGACGTATCACTTAAAAGGTCTGAACAACGAATCAGTGCTACTTTTCCACTCACCTTCGCCTCTTCGTTCACGTCCCAGGTGAAGGAAACAGCGTTGTATGCAATCTCTTCAATGTTTCCAATTGTATTAAAGCTCTCCTTGTAATCAGCTGTAACAGTAACAAAAAGAAAAGGTTTTAAAAGAGTAAGAGTTACTAGGTGACATGTAGTAGACTGTCATTTTCCAATGGGGAAATTGAAACTCTGCCTCTTTTCTGGCTGTCTCTATGGCAACGGTGAAGGATTTGTGTTTGCTGATATTCTTTCACTAGTATTTATAAGAATGTAAGCATGTTCCTCTAGTAAGAGTAAATCTAGGTGAAGGAATGTTCCTAACTGATTTGTTAATTAGTTTCATTTTTTTTTAAATTAGGTTTATAAAGTTATTAACTTCTTCTCCACTTGAGTCCCTTGTCACCTACCCTCTCCCACTCCTATTCACTTTCCTGCCACTTAAGTTTGCTAGAAGTGCCATAGTATTCCATAGGGATTGTTTTATAGAAAAGAATATTGTGTTTATCAGCCAGACAGTGTCATCAGGACTGCAGTGAAGAAATTCCAGGAGACTGCTGGAAAACTTTTTTTATTCTTTTGGACTTTGGGACGGAAAGCTGAGGTAATCATACTCAGCTCACTATCACCACCTGTCTATTTAAGGCCCTCTCTTCCTCTATTTCTTTATTTATGTAATATTTATCTATTCCTTTTATTTCCATTACCTGTCCCCATAAACATGATGGCTATTAATGTGTTTGCTATGAATTCTTGTATAAGTTGTGTTGATTTGCCTGTGTACATAGCTTTCATTTTCACAAATTGCGTTCTGCTATGGCTAGGGTTGCCAGATTTAGCAAATATTTGGGACATACTTATTTTTTAAAAGTATTTGTTGTTTATAAGAAATTCAAATTTAACTGGGCACCCTGTATTTTATCTGGCAAGCCTAGCTCTGGACCTTTCCAGATCTAACCACACTCCTATTTCTAGTTGCAGCTGCATGGAAGCCACGGCAACCATCCACCACAATCTAGCCCCACTCCACAGAGATGGGCCTCTCCGTGGGCTCTAGCTCTCTGGTTCGACGAACAGACCTGTGGTCAAAATCTTTATTACTCACTGTCTCCACTGCTACTGTCTTAGTTGGGATTTAGGTCTGCACATGATATTCCTAATCTAATGCTCACTGCTTCCTGAGGTTTCTAGTTTATGCTCACCATTGATCTCCCCCGCCCCCCACCTCACCCCTCACACACACACACACACACACACTCCTGGCCTCCTTAGATATGGCAGCCTACCTTCATTCTGCCTCTTGTATACTAAATAAGCACTGGTCATGTCCTGCTTGGCCACCTGCTTTTCTTTGAGGCCTGGTTTATTCACAAATTGATCACTTAATCACATGTTCTTCCTCTGTAAGCATCCATAATTATTTTTCTCAAATAGAACTCTGACCATATGCTTTTTATAATTTTTTTATAAGGCTAAATCTTACATCATGACCTATTGTGTCCCTCTCAATTGGGCCCTATGTGTTGGTGCCATCGCCCCTCACTCCACACTGAGGGTCAGAGAAAGGTGCAATTCTAATGATATTGGAGGCCTATTTGTTTATAAAATCTTTCTAAATATTTTTCTTTCCGAGTTAGGATAGGAGTTAGTTACTATGACCAACGTCCAGGATATGTGAAGTGTTCATTGTCTACAGAACTGACACGTTTCTGGCAAACGGTTGTTTCCTCTCTCTTATTCTGTGAAGTCACCATATCACTGCAGGGCTGGGGGCTTCTCGAGGCTTTGGCAAGTTCTCTGGGTCAATGCTGTGAAGTTTTGAAGTCTGCTTTCCTGAAGTTCACATATCTACTCATTTTTAGCTGTTTCCTGCTCACGAAATCTAAGTTCATATGATCCTTTACCAAGATTTTAATTATTTTCTCTTATTAAGACAACTCTTTCTGTTTGTGTGAATTGGGTTGAGAGAAGTAGTTCTCCTGTTTGCTTCTCCTATCCATAATACCAATAACAATAAAAACAAAGTCCCTAATAAATTCATAATAATCCATAATTTTAAAAAGCCACTTTGATTTTGTTTTTTAATAAAACTCCTCATGACTGGGCCCCGATTGATGGTTAATCACTGACAAACCAACTCATCTGTACTCTCCAGAACGGCCCTCCCGACTCCCATTCTAGCATGGATCCTGTCAGCCTAGACGCCGACCAGAATGCTATTTCCTCTTTCTCACCAAACATCTACTTTTTGGGCCAATCCCATGGGTACAAAGTGGCATCCTAATAATGTTATATTTGCATTTCTTCTATCACTTACGAGTTCAAGCATCTCTTTACATCCAGTGTAGTCAACCAGATGTCTCCTTATATAAACGGCCTGTTCATGCCCTTTGTCCCTGTTTCTACTGGTTGCCCCAGAAAAACTTTAAAGCAAAACTATATACCTTTACATTTTAAATAAAACAAACACACTTTACTATAAAATCTTATGTGTTCACCATGGGAGAGTGAGTGACCGTGAACAAATAAGAAAAATATTTAAAAGCAGCCACAATCTACTCACCCACAAACAACACGAAAAAAATATCTGTACATACTTCACTTTTCTTCTCAGTCTCTGTCTCCCTTTCTCCAAAATATGTCAATATTTTAACACAATATTGTAACAATTATTTTTTAAATTTGCTTTTTTCCCCTTTAATACATCTTCAGCATCTTTACATGTCAATAAACAAACTTGTGAGGAATACTTTTAATGGCCAAATACTATTATACTGAATTAAAATAAAGTGCCATAACTTTATTTTGCTCACGTTGGTCACTTAAAAGACGTCCCATACTTTCCTTAAATATCACTTCATCTAATTATCTTTATGGCTAAATATTCATATATACCTCATTATTTCATTAAGATGTATTTTCAGAAGTGAAATTTATAGCTCCAAGACAAATATATTTTTAAAGCTTTTAATTTGTTTTGTCCAATTGTTCATCAAAAGGTTGAAAGAATTCATATTCCCAATAACAATGTATGAGTTCCTGTTTATTTCAAAACTGATATGCAAAATATGCTTATTATTTTCATTTGCAATTCCTTGATTGCTAAAGAGGTAGAATCTTTCATTTGCTTTCTGGTTCTTTCCAGTTCTGTATATTCTTTCTCTTTTGTTTTTTATATTTATTCATTTATCCAACAGCCTCTTGTTCTGTCTTTTGTTCATTTTTCTCTTAGGGTATTCAAATTTTTATTGATTTTAAAGTAAATATTTAAAACTAAGACAGAAAATAGAAAGCAAAGGAAAACCATTTTATAGCCTACAAATTTAGAATAAGCATTTACCACTATATAGGAGATGATTTTAAATGCAAACTAGTGCTTTCGGTAGGCCATTTAATCTATTAAAAATCCAAAGAGAGAAGCAGACCACTGAATTTTAAAAAATTGAGTTCCCTGATTCTTCACAGGTATTTGTTTTAAAAGATAGTGTTGCAATTTAATTTGAAGTTTTTAATAAGAATTTATTTTTTAAAAACCTTTAAGTCAGTCATAAATTAAGAAAGTGAATGTCATATCTATAAAGTCAAATCGAAGTGGTTTGGTCATACACTTATCCTAGATACCATAAGTTACTGCATTATAAGATTTCATTTTTCCATAGCTTCTGCATCTGAAAATTTTTCTCACCTAAAAAAATATATTAGCTCAGAAAAGGAAAGGATTTTTTAAAAAACAAATGCAATACAAATATAAATAAATGCTTTCTGTGTCTCCTAAGTTTGCAGAGTCTCATCAGTTTCCCTCTCAAATTCACTGACTCAGTCGACAAATGTATTAAACAAGTATTTACTGTGTGCCTGCTATGTGCCAGGCAAGTGTCCTCACACCCAAGAAACAGCATAAAATAAGACTAGGTCCTTGATCCTGTGGCTCTCACAGTCCAGAGGAGACAGACTATAAATAAGTAGACAAATAAATAAACAACACGTAATTTATTTGTCTATTTATTTAAACAACAGATTATGTTTAATCTGTTTTTCCATGCCAAACACAAAACCCAAAAAGACTGACGAGGCTACTTTTTATTGGGTGGTTACATTACCATGTTTATTTCCTTCACAGTGTATACCAATATTTTATTTATTTGTTCACTTACTTATCACCAGCATGTCCCATTAGCTAGATATGCTATATGAGGGCAAGGAACTTATCTTAAATACTGCCCCTCTCTCTGTGCTTGCCACCAAACAGGTAAGATGCACTCCATAAGTTAGTTGAATAAATGAGCAAATGGATGAATGAATAGATCCATAAGCATTCTAAACAAAAAATATAACCATGAGACTGATGTCACATACTCCCCTCTAACCTTATGCAATGCAAGATATGCCGGTTCATCTCTACCCTTTATTTTTGGTCCCTAAAAGTCATTCACCTACAGATGGTGAAATAGCTCTCCCACCACTTTGTAACTGTAAGTTTTCTAAAAGACTAAACACCTTATGCACATTGATGTTGCTTAGTCCACATGCATATTTGTCCAATGAATAAAATGCTAATAGATGTATCTCTTGTTCTGAAAACCATTACTGTCCTTTGATAAGTGTTGTTTGCTTAAGGGTTTATGATCTCTGGTGTAAAAGGAGAAATTCAATAACTTGGTGTTAAGCCCTCCTTAACTTAACTTAGTTCCTCAATAAAGTTTCTCAAACCCATATTTCGTAAATGTCGACAGTTGCAAACCAGGGTTCTGTGATGAGCTAGTGTAATGAGCGTAGTTTGTTAGAGCTGCCCTAACAAATCACCACAAACTTGTAGGCTTAACAACAGAAATTTATTCTCTCCCAGTTCTGGTGGCCAGAAGTTCCCAGCTGAGGTTTTGGCAGGGTCGGTTCCTTGTGGAGGCTCTGAGGAATGACAGACTCCATGCGTGTCTCCTAGCTTCTGCTGGTTGCTGGCAATCCTTGGTGTCCCTTGGCTTATGTAGATACATCGCTATAATCTCTGCCTCTGTGTCCACATATTCTTCTCTTCCGTGTCTGTGTCTCTTTCTCCCTGCTCTTCTAAGAACTTGTGATTGAATTTAGAGTCCACCCTAGT